GACTAGCAAGATTGTATGTATTGAGTTCTGTGTCTCTCTATCCATCAGGTTTCAAAGCCGGGTCCTTTATAGACACCTTTGGAGGGGTGATTTGTGAGCTATCAGGAAGGGTAAATATTGGGCTGAAATCTAGGTGCCCAGATATATACCTAAAGGTACCTTTTAGACTTGTAAGATTGAACAGTCGATCTTTCTGCCTCGTTTGAAAGCCGGATTATCTGACACCTCCCACTAGAAGGCAAATCAGTCAATCAGAATGGACCTTCGACATCTGGGAATAACTTCGGGCTGCCAGGCTGCGCTCTACCGTCCTGGGTGCAGAAGCGAATGAAAACGATATAGATTCTCTGGTGAGGGCTTCGCTTGAATTACATCAATAAGAGGTCAGCGCATAACATTCATGTAGTTTCCTATTTAGGGAGATTCCATCAGGGTCTTGTACATGCCTCCTCATTCGTCTCATCCATGCCAGCCGCTTGATATCAGTTGCTTTTCACCATTAAAGCGCTTCTATGGTCAAAAGGTTCAAGAATCGATACATAACAATATCTATACGATTGATAAAGAAGAATTTTTACGTCTTTATCCTGGAGTTCGACAATTAGCTTTATCTACAGCTAATATACAAAGTGGATTTGCTGCTGCTAGCTTGATACCGTTAGCACCAGAAAGAGTGCTTGTTAAGCTCAAGATACGGCTTAACACACTAACACCACCATCGACATCTCATAGCGATCAGTCTTCGAATCTAGGCAAGACACCAGCTAATGCTCGTCAATTACAAAAGCATAAAAAGCAAATCCAAGCCTTTCGCAATCGCATATCAGTATCTCCTAAGACCACGGAACAGGCTGTTGATCGCTTGATCAAATGTGCTGAGATCTCAATGCAACAAAATATACTTTTACACCATGAGCTATCTCAACTTCGTGCTGCAAGTGAATATAAAAGGAAGAAGAAAGAGACAAGTCGATATTTCATTGCAGCAGATGGCAGTTTAATGGGGGAACAAGGACAACAGTTTACAGAGGAACGAGAGCAGGAACAAAGGCGGTTACTGCAACCTAGACCACGAAGAGCACCTCGTTGCAGTAATTGCAACCAACCTGGACACAACAGACTTAAATGTCCTATTAGAAATTAGAAATTATGCGCAGATAGCTTTAGTCATTGCAAGGCGTTGAGGTGTCAAGTCCGTATAGTAGAAATATGGTGGTGAGCTGGCCCACTCGGTGTCCGATTACGTTAGCCATGCTAGATGACAGACATACGGATCTCCCCAAACCACAGCATGACGATAACGTGTACATTCTTGGGTGTATCGGTAAACACAACATTGTCATAACTTTGTATACCCATAGGCATGGTCGGTAATATCAAGTCAGCCACTGTGGCAGCTCACATGACCTCCACATTTCCATCGATAAAATTTGGCCTCATGGTCGGTATCGGGGTGGCGTTCGGCCCAAAGTTAGACTTGGCGATGTCGTGGTCAGCAAGCCAGTGAGCGAGTTTAGTGGTGTAGTGCGGTGGGATTTCGGCAAAGCAGAACAAGGGAACACTTTCAAACGAATAGGAGCATTGAATAACCCCCCAGTGCACTACTAGCTGCTCTTACTAAGTTGGAGTCCAAGCACGACATCGAAGGTTCTGAGATTCCTAGGCATCTTGAGAACCTTAAGCAAAAGTGGCCAAGGCTAGTACATCAGTACTTGAGAACTGACTCCTTGAATGACATACTGTTCAAATCCAGCTATCACCACATTGAGAAGAACGCAAGCGATGATGACTGGGAAAATGAAGGGGAGGAATTGAACAGTTGCGCTTATTGCGACCACACCAAAGTTGTAAAGAGGAAACCTGCCGCTCATGATATGCGCATCCACTACGGCCTAATTGCTTCCGGTAACCAAGTAGTCAAGGATGCGTTTCGGCGGAATGAGATTAACAAGATGCTTGGTGGCAATGTTCTTTGCTTTGAGATGGAGGCGGCTGGACTTATGAATGATTTTTCATGCATTGTCATTAGAGGTATCTGTGACTATGCGGACTCGCACAAAAATAAGGATTGGCAAGAGCATACAGCGGCTGTCACAGCGGCTTTTGGGAAGGAATTCCTCTCTGTGGTGTCGCCGCACGGAGTGGAGGAGATGCCGATAATTAATGGTAATACTTTGCTTCACGTTCTGAGTTTTATCCACGGGGTTGTGGAGGTAGAGACTAAAGATCAATTGGGAATAATGGACAGGATCTGAATTTTTCTCTTATGGCTCAATTTTACTAACAATGGGATTTACTAGATGTCTACGATAGCGTCACGAAAATGGCTGGAGGTGTCAAGACACTTACTGAGAAGCACCATATACAAGAGCAACAAGCTATACTTGAATGGCTTACTCAGGTTGATTACACTTCTCAGCAAAATGACTTTATTAGCAAGCGTCAGCTCGGAACTGGGCAATGGCTACTAGATTCCAATGAATTTCAGGGATGGATAGCCCAGACGAACCAAATTTTATTCTGTCCTGGCATACCAGGGGCGGGAAAAACCATACCCACATCTACTGTGGTCGATTATCTCCACGGAAGGTTTCCAGATAACACCACTATCGGTATTGCGTATATTTACTGCAACTTCCGGCAACAGGAGGAGCAACGCCCTATGAATGTCCTTTCAAGCATTCTCAAGCAATTCGCCCAAGGACATAATATCATTTCTGAGTGTGTAAAAATTCTTCTTAAAAAACATAAGTCCAAAATGTCCCGCCCCTCTTTCAGAGAGATTTCAGATGTGTTATGTTCTATCATAGAGGACTTTTCACATGCTTTTATAATCATTGATGCGCTAGATGAATGTCCAATCGCTGGTGGAATGCTGTCCAGTCTTCTGTTGGAAATATTCAACTTGCAAGCTAAGACAAGAGCAAATCTCTTTGCTCCGTCGCGTTTCATCCCTAAAATTGAAGAAGAGTTCAAAAGGAAAGGCGCTGTTTCACTAGAGATTCGTGCTAGTGATAATGACGTCCAAATATATCTGGATGATAAGATATCACGGTTGTCATTGTTTGTCGGGAAGAACCCTGAACTAGAAGACAGAGTAAAGAAAGCAGTCATTACCGCGGCTGATGGAATGTGAGCTCATTTAGAGTCAGTTATAAGTCTCCAAAGTCTAACAACTTACTTCTAGGTTTCTTTTGGCAACGCCTCACTTGAATTCGTTGGAGGATAAAGTTAACCCTAGACAAGTTGAAAATGCGTTAAAAAAACTTCCCAAAGAAACTAATGCATACAGCCAGGCATATCAACAAGCGATGGAAAGAATCCAGAGCCAGTTACCCAGTTTCTGCGACCTTGCTTTCAAAACTCTTGCGTGGATTTCTCATACTAAAAGGCCTCTAGCCCCAAAAGAGTTGCAACATGCATTAGCTGTTGTTAACAACAGTCCAGCTCTTGATGAGACTAACATCACGAAAATTGAGCTGATAGCCTCAGTATGCGCTGGATTGGTCATTACCTAGGCACCCTACAGTAGCAAACTCTCCGGGAATCAATCCTTGTGATAATAATGGCCAACAGCTCTGATGAAAGTGATATTATCCGCTTAGTTCATTATACAACACTGGAATACTTTCAGCGGACCTGGAGCACTTGGTTTCCAAGTGCTGAGACAGATATTGCCAAGACTTGCATTAACTATCTATCATTCAACGATTTTCGTTCGGGTTTTTGCCTGACAGATCATGAATTTGAGGAGCGCGTACAACTTCATCCGCTTTATTCTTACGCCTCCAAAAACTGGGGGTATCATGCCAACGCAGTTTCAGGGATAGAGACGAAGCATGATACCTGCACAGCTTCGGTGAATATGGAACAGCTGGTCGCTTTTCTTGGGGATAAAGATAAGGTTTGTGCATCCAGTTAAGCGCTCATGGCTACCATGGGGTACAGAGGTTGCAGTGAGGAAGTTCCATGACAAATGACTGGACTGCATCTTGCGGCATATTTTGGGCTAAAAAAAGCGACAGTAACCTTATACGAAAATTGACACGACCCTGACTCAAAAGCTAGCGATGGCCGGATGCCGCTATCATGGGCTGCACAGAAGGGATATGAGATGATGGTGAGATTTCTTCTTGACAAAGACGGAGTTAACCCGGACTCAAAAGATTTTCTTGGCCAGACACCACTGTCATTAGCTGCAAGGAATGGGCATGACATGATAGTGAATTTTCTTCTTGAAAAAGATGGAGTTGATCCAGACTCAAATGATACTGATGGCCGGACACCACTGTCATGGGCTGCACAGAAGGGGCATGACATAATAGTGAAGCTTCTTCTTGACAAAGATAGAGTTGATCCAGACCCAAAAGATTCCTGCGGCTGAACTCCGCTGTTGTGGGCTGCAGAATATGGGCGCGACACGATAGTGAAGCTTCTTCTTGAAAAAGATGGGGTTAATGCAGACTCAAAAGATTTTCGAGGCTGGACACCACTGGCATTGGCTGCAGCATATGGGCATGACACGATAGTGAAGTTGTTGCAGAGATGACGAAAACGTTAGTTGGTTGATTAAACTAACCGTAAGTTTGGGGGCATTATCTCGCCTTTTGACAACACACTGCTTTTGCAAATATAAAGCTATTCCCAACAATAAATAATTGAGTGCAATAATATATACACTGCTTTTTATATTGTAGATTGATCTGCTAATTGATTCTATTTATATAGGAGCCTGACCTCTGTCGCTACGTTATACGCCTACTCCTACATTGATTTCTCCATCGCTTCAATCAAAATGGTAAAAAGCAGTGAATACTCTATTGCTCAACGCTCCCAGGTTATAACCTTGGTGTTTCTTGCCAATATGAAGCCTCCGGATGTCGCGAATTTGCTATAGATGCCCAAAAAAAGTGTTTACAACATTATAAACCGTACTAAATCAGCAGGATATGACCCCGCAGTCAAGCATCTAGTTATTGATTGCTATATCGTTGATAAATCACGCTCAGGACGTCCAAAAGTAGTAACTCTGGAGATTGAGGCTTCAATATTTGCAAGTCTAACTAAGGATCGATCTGGTCGTGAGAAATCTGCTGAGGTTCTTGCTTTTGAAGCTGGTATTTCTGAATCTTCTTGCCTGCGTCTCTTGAAATTTCTTTCTTTTAATAAATGCAAGCCTGCTTGGAAACCTGGTCTGACAGAAGATATAAAAAAGAGAAGACTCGCCTTCGCCCTGAGCCACTGGCATTGGACTCTAGAGGACTGGAAGAATATTGTATGGACCGACGAGACATCAACTTGAAACTCTCATATCAACTCACTCAACCCTCACATCTCTCATCCTACTCAATCCTCGCCTCTTACCTCTCACACCAAATCACTCAAAGTAAGTGGTTGACTGAACCTAAGATATCTTATATCTGCATCTGAAATATAACTAATCATGACAATAGATCGCTTCATATTTTACCTCTCGCTGATCTCTAATCATTTCATCGAATCATTCGAAGTAAGTTGATCACTAGACTTGAGATGTATTATATCGATCTCCGAGGCCTTACTGATTGCCATAATTGATCACTTCAGCTCAAATGGCTAGAACCAAAGTGTCAGCTCGACGAATCGTTAAGAGAGGGTCATTTAAGACTTTACCTGGCGGTCCCAGACCTGTGTCAAAAGCCTTCCTCTTCTGAGACTTGGTGACACCGGTTAACTGGTAAAATTGTATTATTGTGTACTTTTCTTGCGAGTTCTCCTGTTCTAACTCTATAATGAAAAAATCAGAACCCCTCGCTTTAATGCGTGTTTCTTCTTGATTGGTAGGCCAGTTGGACCTCGCTTGCGCTGTGCAGTTCTCCAATAATATCTAACGATACCATTCCGTCCAACAAACTGCTAGCACACCAAATCAATCTGCTGGCAGACCTTCTACCAAACGACGTCGTCGCTATAAATGGGGCAGTAGGTTCATAATTTCTTCCTATGATTGCTGCATTCAACTAATATTATTGTTACCAAATGCCTTACGCGAAATTGCTCGATACCAAAAGTCATTCGATTTGATTATACCCAAACTGCCATTTCAATGACTGGTATGAGAAATCGCACAGAGCTTTTCTTTGAGAGGTGATATGAGATGGCAGGGGTCGGCTATTTTAGCCCTGCAAGAGGCTGCTGAGGCGTTTCTTGTAAAAGAGTTCGAAAGTAAATCTACCCACCTCGAGGCTAAGGCGTCACGATACTAATTATATAGTAGTGAGTAATCTCGCGGCAATCCGCGCAAAAAGAGTTACGATCCAGGCCAAGGCCATGGAGCTGGTAGATCGACTCAGAAGAATCACGACTGGATCTGGGTACAGAATTGGGAATAGAACCTGATCGCCTTGAATCATACGCTTCGAATATCAGTATTGAAGGCTTTATGTGGTTTTAATCCTGAATTCGACATCAAAATTGCAGACAACGTCCCAGAAGGGGAGATACCTGCAGCCAATGATCGCATTCGGAAGCTCCTTGGACTGAGGCAAGGTCTGCGAGACCAGCTGAACGCGGCACGGCAATGTTAAATCAAAAACCATAATAAGCGACATGCGCCGAAAACCTTTAAACGAGGAAGCCTGGTGAAGTTATCGACGCAGAATCTAAAGCTTAAGAACAAGAATCTGCAACCTCAATTCATTGGCCCTTTTCGAAGCATGAAAGTGATAAGGTATCAAGCGTATCGACTAGCACTCTCCCAGCAATACTCACGGCTTCATGATGTGTTCCCAATCCAGTTGCTTAAAAAATATCACCCTAGAGAAAAACGAGAAATGATGCTATTGCCAGAACTAGAGGACAATCCTGAGGAATATAAGATGGAAGAAATCCGAGATAAACAAGTTAAGTGGATAGGATGGCCTTTGGAATATAACTAATGGGTACCAGAAAATAATATGAATGCACCCAGGTTAATCCAAGATTTTGAAAGATTCCAAAAACGCAAACAAACGTGAAGCGAGACGATCTACTGTAGTGGTTTTTACCCGATGGCTTCGGTTTTCCCACTATATAGATTACACCAGATCTAGTAAATGCGTACTTCATAGCTTGCGTGGACACGAGCCCTTGAAGGAGGGGATAGCTGTCGTTAACAATGTATTGTCACGAAACAGCATGAATGTCTCTTATATAGAATGCATGCTGCGGAAGCAGAAGAGATAGGTTTCAGTACATTGACATTCCATACCCCCTACCCTGTGTACTTAGCCCTTAAGTGATCCCTCTCGAACGTGTTACGTGACTATACACATCCCTCGTAACGGTGTTACAACTCAATGGTATGTCTTCTCCTGAGCGTGCACATGAACTTGCTAATGCCTCATGTGGGAGACCGTAGCCGTAGAAAACGGTAGTCACATACGCATAGAAGATATGATAGTTCATAACAGCGAATGCTGCATTTCCTCGAAGGCCGTCAAGTGAAGAAGTCAAAGAAGAATGTTTTCTAGTGTAGGGTTTCTCCGATATATTTGGATCTGGCTCTGTTCCTCTGATAAAGCTCGGCAAAAGAGCAGAACGATGTTCCCTGCCCATTTCAAGAAGGAATCGCCATGTTTCCTCCATCGCCGTAATACACGTGCCTCGCCAAAAGAGATACTGAACGTTGGTTTGAGGCTTTCAAGCGTGTATTATTATTAGTATTAATCAAGTTTATTGTCCGTACCCAGCCCTCCTGGCTATGACAGACCACTTTCAAGCGTGTAATTTGCTTCGTTTCGATCGAACAAGTCTTCAATGACTCTATCTTGGTGTTGGTGAGCATTGGATGATAACTCATAGTAAGAATAATGCATCATCGTTCAACTTGAATTAAGGACGAGTCAGTTAGCGCCGGATGGAGTGTGGAAAGATATCACTTTTGTCAGCTATCTCCACGATTCTATCGAGGTTCATTTGGAAAGTAGTCCGGAGATCAAAATATTGCCAATGTAAAATTCAAGCGGACCTGACTTGGTATCTTTTGCTTTGAGCGAATTATGAACTGGCTAGTTTAACAGGGGTGCATAAGCTCGGGTTGGAAGTCCCACCTGATGTTGGTAACCAAGAATACGCTATTGTCAAAGACAGGCCCTCAATTGCATCATTTCTTTTTTCCACTTAGCAGGGTTTCCTTCATGACTTGCAGGCATAGATGTTCATTGTTCCGTCCGATCCGAGTATCATACAGAGCCCCGTGTCTAAATGTTTGAGCAAAGACGACTTCTATCTAGCTACTCAGGTCTTTTCTCCCTCGTTCATTTTTTCTTGTCGATTCTGTTGCAAGGCAGATTGGAATGTGGAAATTTCATCAATATCGCCTTTTTAGGCAACTTCGTTACCAACTTCGTCTTTGTCTCTGCCGCTGAGGAAGAAACTGAAAACGAAGCCTCGTCATCGTCCAACCACTCTTCTACTGATTTATTATTGCCTCCTAATGGGAGTAAGAATGTTCGCATTACTCTAATTTACTTTTCGATTTCGTGCATTTGTCTCTTTGTGTCCCTTTCACTCTTTCTTTTCCAGTACTACCATAACATATCCGATGAGAAGTGTATGCGGCCGTTTTCAGCTCCAAGTCAGGGGACACTCTTTACCTTTTAAACCTTTATGCTCACTATAACTAACAAAGATGATAGGTCCTGTATTGGATGCTGTTGAGTTTGAATGGGTGACTTACAATGATGTCTTCCATCCTGATGAGTACAGTGGCTACCCCTCCGTCGACTCAGAAAAGGCATGGGCAAGATTATGGGACTGGGAGTTCTGCGACTTTCTTGGAAATTAATCTTGGCAGAATAGTCTTCTAATATGATGAAGCTGGCGCCTTCAACGTACCCCAAGAATCTCTCAGCTGCTTGAACAAGTCCTCGATGACGGGATATTTCAGGTTAGTTGGCTCAGGACCAGACGCGAGGCGTCGGTGGTATCCTAGAAGGTGCACATCAGCTACATTGCCTGGTAAGTCTAAGTTTGGCAGTAAGAAGAAGGGAATTAACTTGAATTGCCTGATAGAGCGTACTCTGGGATAGTCGGTAAACACATACCAAAAATACCATATCAGTATACGGATAATACAGCGGCAATACGCACCCTTATCAAGCGATAACGGCAGTCTTTTTTGTACAAAAAGCTCCACGCCTTGTCAGCAACTCCGCTTCGATACTTAATCTTGGCAATTCCATGCCGTGCAATCTATATATCTCTACAATTGATCCAGGTTCATCGCAACTGATCTGACTTGCCAACAGAGAACCAGAATGAGCCCCTCCGCAGTCGACATCAAGGTCCAAGGCGCCACCAACACCACGGCCGGCGATAACAACGCCCTCGTAGCATGGCGCAAGTCCGGCGCCGTGCCCACGGGCACCGCTGCATTCTCAATCATCGACATGTTCAAGAGTCCCACCTGTTTCACACGACCAAAGGCCAAGGGATTAGATCCTCATCTTTCCTTGGAGGCGAAATCGCGCAAACCCTCGTCGTTGAAAGGTGCGGCCAGGTTTCTGTCTAGGCCGGTATGATTTCGCTAGGTGGATTGCTGTCGAGTGAGACTTTTCCGTTTGAGGGATGAGTCAAGGTACCCAAGGCACCGAAGTTTTCGGGGGAAGGGACTCATGCTTCTGGTACGACTATAACGGTGGGGGAGCATGATATCAAGGAGGAGAAGAGCTTGTTCGGTATGTCATTTTCGACATCGCGAGAAAAGGGGACGGTTGGCTGATATATGCAGATTTGGAGTTGCGCTCAATTATGCTCAGTCAATAGGCTTTGCGCAGATGGTTCACTTTATTGCTGAACATACAGAGGTATGGTCTTTTTCTCGTTTTGGAAAGCTTTCCCGGAATACATTTAATTGGCAAGCTAGATTATCCATGACCCCCCTTACTCAGACTGGCACTGCTACCTGACCGTCGGAAATGAATTGGCATGGGGCGCGACACTGAGAATCTTCTGCGAACGAGGCGACTACATCCTCACCGAAGAATATGCATTTGCTAGCGCATTGGAAACTGCCGCTCCTTTGGGAATCCGCATTGCCGCAGTCAAAATGGACGAACAAGGTCTACTGCCCGAAGACATGTATGAACTCCTTTCAAACTGGGATGAAAAGGCTCGTAGTGCCGCAAAGCCTCATCTTTTGTACACCGTTCCTTCTGGTCAGAGCCCAACAGGAGCCACCGAGAGTGCTCAACGACGACGAGTACAAAGTCTGCCAGAAGCATGATATCTTTATTGTCACTTTGAGTCCTCAAACCAAAATCCCAGTGGATTCTCACAACTTGCCCTCTTCAAGCTTCTCGACGAAGAATGGGGTCATGCAGGTTACTTGGATTGGTTGATGCATATGCGCCTTTAGTATACCCGTCGTCGGGACTCTTTACTCGAAGCTTGCGGAAAATATCTTCCTCGAGAAGTCACTAGTTGTGTTCCACCATCTGCCGGCATGTTAGTAAGTCTCTCCATTCTTTTTTAGCGCACTTGAATTTTCAATCTGACTCAAAAAACAATGGATCGAAGTCCCCTGGAAGAAACACCCCGGCTACGCTCAGGGAAAATCACATGCAGAAATCGAAGAAGCTATCTTCTTGGCTTCGGTTGACCGTGGCGCTCTGTTGTTGCGAGGAAGCTGGTTCCGATATGACAAGCACATGGCAGAAGACAAGATATTTTCCGTGCTACTTTGGCAGCGGCTCCAGTAGATAAAATGCAGGAAGCCATTAAGAGATTTGGTGATGCGCTGAGGGCTGAGTTTGGGTTGAAGGATGCGGAGTAAGTTGATAGATCGTATGTAGTTTATTATCTATGAATGGTCTGATATAAAAGTCTATAACATCATAGGTCAATATATAAGTTAGGTACTTTTTACATAGCAGGGATGAAGTAGGATTGATATGACTACTACTACTAGGTACCCTAAGATAAAGACCAGACAGTCTTAAGCAACCACATCATGCTTCGTGCTGATAGCCACACCATCTTCAGTGAATGCAAGAGTCTTACTCAACTTGGCCGTCCACTGACGGACAACATGTCCTTTGAGAATAAGTCCAATCATGATGAGATCGACAAACACAATGAAAAAAGCTCCCATCCCCCACATCCAGCCAATACCAACAGCCGCCTGCCAGTTAGTAGTAATGAAGACCGATATCAAACCAAAGGTGACGCGGTATGCATTCAGCGAGACAGAGGCCTCGACAGGATTGTGCAAGAAGCATTCGATAATATAATTATAGCAGACAGGCAGAGCGAGAAGAGCGCCGAACCAGATCAGGAACGATCCCAGAGCAAGAACCATGAAATGAAGATGGTATTGCAGACCAGCTCCCCACAGACCCAGACCAATGGGCAGCAGGATAGATGGCAATATAGTGTTGGCCAGACGATATTCCGTATGCCAGGTACCACCGCGTCGACGAGCAACCCAGAGAGGAGTTTGGTCGTTGAAGAAGAAGCCATACACCTGTGCGCAAATGATGCCCACCCACGCCGTCATGGTGAAGAATGCCATTTGCAGTGATGAAAAGCCATAACCACCGGCGATGACGGGGGGCTCCATAAATGTGGCTAGAGTGGAGGCTTGCATGATGGGGAGACCGAGGGCTATGAAAATGTACGTTCCCATCAGAAGAGTAATGGGCGCAAAGGTGATCTGAAAGGGGATGATTGCCCGTCGTACCTAATTATAGATTAGCGCTCAATTCTTTGTAAGCTGAGCACGATGATGACTTACAAATTCCTTGCCTTTTCCGGCAGGCTGCGTTCGTGTGCCTGGTAAGTAAGTGGCTATTCTGTTGGCCAGCCAGTTCTTAGGTAGAGGAGGGCGTGGAACAGCGGCATCACGGTTGTAGGTGGTTTCTTCGACAAAGACAAAGACCAGAATCATCGCAGCTCCAACCGGACCCAGAGTCCACCAGAAAACGAGGTCCCAAGGATTATTATTGGCAATGAAGCCTCCTAGCGTTCCTCCACCCACGACGGCGAAGATGATTATAATCTCGAAAACAGCAAAGGCCTTTCCACGCTGGTGCAGGAAGAACATGTCGATAATGTATCCACTGCCCAGAATAGCTGGGATACCACCGAAAAGACCAGTGAAGAGTCTGGAGATTGTGAAGGGAATATAATCGTTGACACCAGTCATTTCACCACCCCAGATCTGGCCGACGAAGATGCAAACAAGACTCCAGAAGATGACGGCACTCCGTCCGATCACCCCAACCAACGGAATAAACAAGAAAGGGCCGGCAACCCAGCCTGCGAGACCAGCTGACACGGAGTAGAGCAGGTCGTTTGGTTTCTTGTGATAAGCGGGCACCTGCGACATAAAAGTGAGCATGTTGGAATTGGGCGACATCTGAGCTGCAAAAGCAGCCAGACAGACGCAGGCAAAGATGGTGATCTTCTTGCTCGTCGGCCAGTTCTGTGCGCGGCTATGTTAGATCAATTGATTAATGAGATTCTGGACAAGAGGGCAGTACCAATGGGTCTTCTGGGTCGTCTGAGGGTTGTGGAATCAGAACAACATCGCGGCCCTGCTTGTCCCTTACCACCTTTGGGGAATCCGCATTGGCAGTCGTTGTGACCGCCACCGTGGTCTTCATTTCCTCAGAAGCAGTTTCAGACATGCTGATGATGTCTTTGCATGAGGAAATGTCAGTATGAGCGGAATATGCAAAAGATAAAATAAGGACAAGAAATAGGACCTTGAGAATACTAAGCTCGCGTCGACCGACATTGACTCTAGGCCAGCCAGCGTGTTTGTCACTCGTTCTTCTGGACGCTAATTCTCAACCCCTGCTAGACAGGCCGGCCATGCATGAAGCGATGCAGAAAGGAGGATTCCGGCTAGCAGCAACAGCTACTAGTACTGCGCCAGTGGTTACATCGTGTATTGATGACAGCTAAATTGTTCCAGACATTCTCGGTGAAGCTCAACCAGGGTAAGCACTTAGATAATGACTGTGGCGTTTTCGAGATGTGTTGTTAATTTGATACGAACAGGGGTCTGTATCAATACGACAACAGTACCGTATGATACAAGATCAACTTTGTCTGATGGGAATATCAGAATAGACACTCTCGAATGCAATTGATTGAGTAATCGAGATGAGGTTCGAGCAATTTAATACATATCAAATCATCTCTCTGTATGTGCAAGATCTAATTGATAGTCGCACAGGAAATACATAAGAGATAAAGAATATTATCTAGACGTCTTAAAAGGAATCAAAGACTCTCTTCATCTATCGGCTCTTGTTCTGATATACTACATCGGACACCAACATTTCATCACTGGATCGATCTGCACCCCCATCACGAGCGGAGTGAAAGACCTGCACATCCGTCGTCTTAACAATTCCGTGCCCTTTATTCGCCCACAGCCTACTCTGACTACCGCCGTCTGACCCGAGATCGTCGTCAGGTAGCTCCTGCATCTGACCGCGTTGTGATGGGAGCCAGGAATGATGCGACCTCTGCCCGGAGCGAGACATGGTGTTGAGCGGAACGGAGCGTGATCGCGGATCTGATTTGGAGTATGTTGCTGTGACAGAGTTATGACCAAGTAAAGGACGAATAGAGGGTGCTGCAGCTGCAATAACACCGAATGTTGCTTCGAGTCTGGTTGGGTCGTCTTAGTACTTTCTGTTCAGGGGATTCTGAGGTGATACTCACACTGCCCACTTGAAGAGAGGCACTAGGTCCCCTATAATCAAACAGATAGGTTAGGTAAGTTCGTGTAGCATACTTCGGGGTTTGGCCAAACACACATGTCGGGTCCTGGGTTGAAGTCAGGCTAGGAACCAGGACGGTACGCGCAATGGCAAAACCTCCACTCCTGTACGTACGTCAGCTACCTGGTTATTCACTGTAAGAGTCAGTGTAATGACAATTAGGCCGACGTACGCAAAACCCAACGCCATGATGGCACAGACGCCAATTTTAACCCTCCATATTATTTTGATATTCCAGAGGAAGACTGTTGGTAGAATCGAAAGGTTGAAATCGGTGGCGGCAGCAATGGCTATCATTAGCGTTAATCTTCAAAGACAACAGTGAGGAAGCAGATTGAGCACACTCACTTCCTTGGGCTATTCCAAGCGCATTGATGGCAGTGTCCGACCAGCAATGCCCGTCGATCGATTTGTTCCAATTAAATTCGACCGGCGTACATTGCGGAAAGATTACGGCAGCGTCGACCAAGCTTGTAACAGTGTTGAATACGATAAAAGCCCAGAAGAATGTGTTCCATCGTCTGTCAGTGGGACTGTTGCGAGAGGAACGATAATGTCAGCGAGATGCGAGTACCCAATGCTCTAACGAAGACATACAAGAGTCGTTTCAGGAACAAACTAATCGAGATCTTCACAAAAACAGTCGAGATGATCAACATAGACTCAGCAATCCGCATGAGCATGATGCTATATGTTGCGGCGCTAAGGTCTTTCTCCAGGAACTGGATATGCCTCCCTATTCCGTTGGATGTGCCCCCAATGACCAAACCCATCACTACGCATGTGGTAACCTGTAGTTGAAAAGAAATATTAACTTTTCTTTATTTATTTTTTTGCTTACTTTTGTTGAGCACAGGCTGTGTTCGTGCGAAGAAATCCTGTAAGCATCATTCAACTCACCATGGCTAGCACATTGAAGAAGTCATCCCAGCCCAGCAACTTGATCTTTTGCATGCGTACATAGATCCGTAGCGCGGTTATGATGAAAGCAACGATCGTGGTCAGGATGGTGGGTATGAGGAGCTCAGAGGCTCTATTCGTATCGGTTGTTGTCACCTGTGAGCTCATGGTGACGGGACGACACGCTGTGGGCAGTTATGATGTACTCGTGGAAAGAGAAGGAAGTAGTATATTATACGACTGACTTGCTATTTCAAACAGCCTGACTGTAGGGCTCCTATAATTTAATGGAACTCCTTGTCCGCATTTACCAGGTCCAACAAGACTTGGGAAGAACCCGGCTAGTGCATCCCAGCGCCTACAAATCAGATCCAGAGGACTGGTTATGGTATCTTCATTGATCTACAATTACAGGTTTCTAGAGCTGGCCAATTTTCCATGGTCTACCAATGCAGCCTTGTCACACAGGTCCTCAATATCCTGCTTGCTGTGAACGGAGTCCTTCTCGAACATTGACTATTCAATCGAACTTTCTGCAAAGGAAAGTATCTCGGAAAATGCTAGAAGGATTCTTTTCAACAAATATTCTGCATAGATTAATACGAGATGTGTTGCGAAAACCGCGTCGTACAAGATCCCTGTCTCTTTCTCGACAAGCCACTTTCTTCGGTAATCGCCACGATTGTATACTCGTAGCATATCAAACCCCGCAGGATTCGAGCCCATACACCCTACTTATCATTGATTTGTCCAATTCCATACATACGTGATACTAGTGTGCATCCCTCATGCGGCGCAGGACCCTGGGTCCACGATATAGTGCATACTAGCTACCTCTGGCAAAGCTACTGTAGGACTTGATTGCGCGGAACACAGACTTCGACTCCCGTCGTATATCATCAAAATTCCTAGCGATCCTGGTCGTAATTTAAATTATCTACGTATTATATTAGGAAAATTATTCCGCTCTGCACTAGCAGCAAATTGAGGTTGTATCTTGCCCACGATAAAATCGCCATTGTAGAAGGCTGGAAACTAGGGAGGTCGCCTCTTCGTATCAGAATAAGGAGGCAAAAAAAAAGAAAAGAAAATAAAGGGGAAAGGAGACGGTACTAAACGCCGACTTTTCAACATGGACAGTGGTAACGCCTCTCAGAAGCAATTCACGGTCGCAATCGTGGGAGGCGGCATCGGAGGCCTCACTCTAGCCATTGGCCTACTACGACGCAATGTCTCGGTCAAAATATATGAAGCAGCTTCGGCTTTTGGCGAGATAGGGTTAGGTCTATCAATTGGCCCAGCTGCCCATCGCGCCATGCCGCTCATTGATCCCCAGATCCGCGACATATACGACTCGCTCATCACCACGCATGCAGACAGTCCAGGCTATGAGAAGTTCCGTCAGACTTGGTTTGAGGTAATCTGGGCTACTGGCGAGAAATCAGGCCAGCGTCTTATGACTTTGAATGCATTACCCTCCGGTCAGACCACAGTGCGACGCTCCGACTTCCTAAATGCGCTGGTTAATCTCATTCCTACCGGCGTGGCTCAATTCGGAAAGCGTCTGGTCAAGCTGGAAGAGAATACGGCTCGCGTCACTCTAAGCTTTGAAGACGGCACAACCGTTGTGGCCGACGTTGTCGTCGGTTGCGATGGCATTCGCTCCAAAGTCAAAGAGTCTCTATTTCCCGATGATCTCGAACGAGTGCAACCACGGTACAGCGGCATGTACGGCTACCGTGCCGTGTTTGACATGGAAACCCTGGTGGAAGCTGTGGGCGATGAGCGTGCGAGAGTTTCAACTTGGTATATCGGAAAGGGTGCGTACGCAATTACCTATCCCATCATGCGCGCTAAGAAGGTCAATGTCGGTCTCTATACGCTGAATGATACCTGGAACAGCGATGAATGGGTCCGCAAGGCCAGCAAGGAGGATATGCAGAGAGACTTTGAGCATATGGGGGAGTATGTTAACTCGATCATGAAGGTATTTCAATATCCCAACTATTCTGAACGTCCACAGTACCGATCTGATATGATCACTGTTTAGTACATGTCTGACGCCTCCCAATGGGCCATTTTCGAGCATCCTCACATATCTACCTTTGCGAAATCGAAAGTCGCAATCCTCGGCGATGCCGCACACGCCTCTACGCCGCATCAGGGAGCTGGTGCGGGCCAAGCCATCGAGGACGCGCATGTCCTAGCCGAATTACTAGCGGACACGCGCGTAACGTCCCCGGAGCATGTCGCTATCGCTTTCAAGGCATATGATGCCGTGAGGCGGGAACGTAGCCAAAAGGTGGTGACCAGTAGTAAAGAGAATGCAGATTTGTTGTGCCTTTGTTATGAAGGTATTGGCGACGACGGCCAGAAGTTGCGGGACACATGGCAGGAGAGATTTCGCTGGCTTTGGGATATTGATATCGAGGAACAGGCCGAGAAGGCCAGGAGCATTATGCTTGATCTGATGCACCATCAACACCTCTTGCCCGATTCTTAGACATTTCTGCTGCTTATCCGTAGTTTAGAGCACCGTTCTGCGATAGAGGCCTCTTGATGAATGTAGAAGGGCGAATTATAATGGATATTGTAATTGATGTGGATTAATCTCTTGTAGAAGTTAAACTCTGATCTGTGTAAGGGTCAAGCATAACCTTTCCAAGGTTAAGGTGAGCCTAGAAATGGGAGCGACGATGGGGGCCTAGGGCTTGTACCCCGAGAAACCCACTGAGTCCACGGGCCCTGGTCCCCGGACTGGGCTGGACATGAAGTGGTTTATACAGGCATGAACTACGTATGTGCTTCTTAGGGTTAGAAAGGGTTGGTCTTAGAAAGCCTAACACCAACAAGCCGAAGGACACGGCGCCTTAAAAAGGGGCTTATCTCCTCAATAGATTCCGATATAGCGTCAATGTCCCGTCGTAATCTATGAACACTTTTTCTCAAAAGCTAGGGTGTCCTTGGGGGGTGAGCGAGATCCGGTGGTTGGTGAACTTGTGGGAATGTTCTGCTCCTCTCCGTCATAAACCTTCAATACCTATGGGACCTTCACACAGATTCATTTTTGACTGAAGTGGTTTAAGCACAAGCTCGGGTCGTAGGGAAAGATCCCTGTATTCCGGAATCCTGCCTTGATTGTACGCCGTGTAAAATCCTGTTGCCGTACTCTATGAAGCCCATGCAAGAAGTCGATTTTAATGTAAGATCGGCCTCCAAGCCGGGTTTGACGCGGGGCTTGAGATATCGTCACTCTGCCACTATGGCCGGAAATGGCGCTTATTGGTACTCAATATGCCACCAAGAAAAGTCAAATGAATAATTTTGATCTGCAACTGGGCATTATACTTTGAAAACATGTTCACAATGTCGTACTCATTGTTCCTCCAAGAGAACGTGTACTCAGGCTAGAATTCATACTTCTGAGCCTCCGATCGGCATGACACATGAGGTCAATCATTAGACGTTTTTCTTGGGTAGTGCCTAATTTGACGAGGCATTCGTATAACCTCTTCGAATTGGTGCAGGTAACAAGGGGCAATGGGTCGGCGAGGTGTAGAAACTGCGTTATTGTTGATTTGATTGACGCAGCCGAATCGAAGCCGTGAACCATAGCATAAAGTTCCGTGTGTACAGGAATCCACTAAGTATTGGGTATCAGTACCGGAATATTAGTTATTCCGTTTCACCTACCCAACACACTGGGGATATCCCCTTTACTTGCATGTAATTATCCTTCTCCTTCCTATTTTTGAGAACCAGTCATAATATTCGAATAATATCAATATTATCGGGCTCATGGGCTCCTTGGAATAGCCTTACTGCGTAATCCTATGCTTCGTGTTATCAGGACGTAGTTAAACCAACAAGTTCAGAAGCAAGTACACTTCTTGTAACGCGCTTGCACTTGATTGAGGACCAATGTACGAGATAAGCGTTATTCGCAGCATCTGCTAGAACAATAACAAAGCCAATTTGTGATGAGAAATCCTTATTGTTCGCGAATGACGCCTCCGTGAGTCACCTCCGGCTAACCTGCTTGATTTAGCGGTTTATAACCGACCCTATTTCTAACGTCTTAATGATATTTGTATTGGAATCTTTTGGTACTAGTCCGAACGGGGTTAGGCTCTGATAGGAGCGTACAATCTGGCTGAGGAATAAAATTGACTCTGATTTGCACACTTTCTAAAAACACAGCTAGCTACGCATCTTGATCCTCTTAATATACACAATATAGTGGTAAAATAGCAATCCTGAATCCAAAAGTAGGGCTGTCGATGTTGTGCCAAACCTGGGATCGGCAATTGTGTTTTTCCGGGAATTCACCGATTAGTAAGGTCGTCTAGAATGGGATCAGCGTATCAGATATCTGACAATTTGTAAAGATCATGTGAACTTCGGGCCGATATTTATCCGTACGGTCACCCCTTAGATAGCTTCCTCTAGGATAGAGATAGGTAGACAGAGAGAATAAGAACGTGGAGAACGCTCTATCGAGAACCAATCATTCCCCAATAGGGAAGCGTACAACTGATATTTCTACTACTCCTCATAATCCTTGGCAACCAGATCTTCCTCTGAGTTCTTTACAATATTTATTGAGGAAGTCAGAATCAACCTCAGGTAAATTATGTATAGAAGCGGTAATTTAAAATACTAGTAAATTGTGTTTGGACTAGCTTCAGGCAACAGCCAAGGCTGTGGGGCAAAAAAGTCGAAGAGAGTGTAAAGAAGGTGAAGGAGGTTTCGAATCTGTCTGTACATAAATATTGAGAAGCTGTCAATGGCTTCCCGTTTCCCTCCTCAACAATAAAATATCCTTCTCTCGAAAGAATCACTAGAACCCCAGTCCCTGTGCCCAAGTCAAACCTTTTTGTTCCACTCTGCTCTGGTCTGACCTTTTGATTGAGATGGCGCACAAATCCCTCAAATCCACCTGCCATTGTGGTGCCATCACCGTGATCGTGCCTCATCAACCAGAGGAAATCAATGAATGTCAATGTACAATCTGCCGGCGCTACGCAGCCGCTTGGGCGTACTACAAAGTCAATGAAATCAAATTTAACATGAAAGAAGGGGCCAAACTCTCTCAGTACGTTTGGGGAGATAAAGAGAAGTCATTCAATTTCTGTGAGAACTGCGGATGCATGTAAGTTTCAATCAGCTCATCATTTGTGGACCTCAATAGGTTGGCTGAAATTCTTTGCTTGGACATAGATGCTATTGGTGGCCATTTGAAAAAAAGAAGGCAGACGGTAGTGCAGCTGACTTCGGCGTTAATACGAGGAATATGGATCCCATGGAAATCTTGCACGTCAACCGCAAGATTGAAAACGCCTGGGTGTTCCAGCCAATCAACAACAAAACCATGGCGCATGAACAGGATCAGGCCAAGTACTGAACTATTGGTGTAGAAGTTATTGAAAATTTAATGGAAAGGATGTGTCTTCAAGTCGGAAATAGTGACTTTTGCTCTCTAGCCTTGTCCAGAGCTGCATTTCGCTTTGCATAAGCCAGTGTCCTTGTTGTATAGACACACAAATTCGGTTAGAAGTCTAAACCATTAATGTGAACGCACAATCAGCTATATAATGAACCGATACAAAAAGGAAGCTGTAGAGCAGTACATAAAATGCCCGTCGGGCGACAGTTCAATTATGAAGAAGTTTGGATCTGCACGGTTAAAGATCTGTTGCAAATCAAGTCCATTTCTGAGTGCCACCTGATATGCCTTTCGGTAATCATTCTTGAGGCCATAATCATCCACTTTGGATGCATGCCACTCACTGTCGTTCTTAAGCGCCACATCTCGGGAGGTAGAGAGGGCTGACGGTAGGCCGTATACTACAGTGCGTTAGTAGAAGTTATAGGGTCTAGGGAAAGGACTTAGGAGTCTGTTGGTACACACTCCAGTAGACACACCCAAGTACATGCAAGAAATAGCAACGTGAATACAGTAGCGTATTGGCAACGATGTTGTGGAGTTCATGCTGGTGCTTCCGATACAGTCCATGTGTAGTATGAGCATTCAGAGATTGGCTCAGACGAGGAAATCAAGACCGAGGTAGAGGGAGATGAAAAGCGAAACGAGACTTGCTGGGATCCACGACCGGAGCGTATAATGGAAGTTTAATAGAGGATTAAGTGAAACCGAGTAGTGAAATTAAAAAGTTCGCGCTCGCACTTTGTTCTGTTTCAGTACTGTTACAGATATGTAAATCTTGTGCCTGTAGGCGAAAACTGACTCTTGATTGTGCGTGTCCCTATGAACCTAGGTTCCTAGGACGAAGATATTTATCTACCGGCGTGCTAACTACACAAGATAGACGGTGCTGACTATCTAAGGTCTTATGGGATGCTGTAATTCCCTCTCTACCAGGGTGCTAGGGCTTCAGACCATCAGGACTTGTTGGATTAGCTAAGCTGATCCAGCCAATCAGACAGATGATATTTGTCCGCCAATAAGAGCGAGCCACACACTGATCCACCGAATAGGGGGTAAACAGATATCTTCCACCTTTACTGTACTTAGAGACAAGAACAAGGACAACAACGATCAAGGATTCCATACTTCTTGCATACATAATTTGATACGTTGAGATATACCACTTGAGATTGTTACGTACAGTCCAACAGGACTACTCGGATTCCATCATACAAATTGCGAACGGATACTCAAGTCTGGCAATATAGAAGAAGCTACTTCTTTTTTTGATCCCCTTGATGAAGAAAAACATCACTCATCCCTCCTTTATATAAAGAAATACCCGTGCCGCC